AAAGGAAACTGAGAAAGCAAATACCTGACCCAGAAATTACCCAGCATGTTTTTCCATAATCTATGAAGAATCAAAGTTATGCACCAACTTTAGTCAAACCAAATACACATCCTTCTGATAGCAAAGATTTTTCCCAAATTAGGAAGTAGGCAAAATTACTCACAGCCTAGATATCCCAGTTTAGTTAAAACCACAAGTTTCTAGAAGCAGAAAGCCTGGGTTGGAATCCCTGCTCTACCATTTACTAAGTATATCTTAAGTTACTCAACCTGTAAAGCACTTAGGACAAAGCCTGGCAGGGACTAAGCACTTGGTAGATGCAGGGTGACAGCAAACCTCTAGATCTCTGCAACTTGGCATTGGTTGGGAGACTGTTAGAAATTCAAACTCTGAGGTCCAGTGTCAGACTTACATAGTTAAGACCTAAAATTTCATCAAAATTCCATTATGATTCAGAAGCAAATTAAAATTTGAGCACAGCTAGAATGCATTTTTTCATTTCATCCTGAGATGTTATTTATAATAATTTTTTTAAGAATCACTCCATTGCTCTTTTGCAGCCTGAAGAAGGCAAAGTATTATTTGGGATAACAGAAATTCCTCCCTTAATGATTTCTTACCATACCTTCGTATTCAGAGCCAACTAAAGCCTGAGGTGGTAGAGGACTGCCATCTAGTGGTAGTTCATTCTGCTACACATACCAAATAAATTCCCTCTGTGTTGTCTTCCAGCATTTTAAATACATTGGTTTAAAACACTGCAAGGTTTTCTTTTTGCTTAACTCCTTTCTTGAGGACTACTAACACAATTACCTAATTTAACAATTCCACAAGAAGACATCTTAAATACAGAATAAGATAAAAGACAAGAATTTTCAACTTCCTTTTTTATTTTTTTTTTCCATTTATTTTTATTAGTTGGAAGCTAATTACTTTACAATACTGTAGTGGTTTTTGTCATACATTGACATGAATCAGCCACGAATTTACATATATTCCCCATCCCAATCTCCACTCCCACCTTGTCTTCCCAGTGCACCAGGCCCGAGCACCTGTCTCGTGCATCCAGCTTGGGCTGGTGATCTGTTCCACCCTAGGTAATATACATGTTTCGATGCTGTTCTCTCGAAACATCCCACCCTCGCCCTCTCCCACAAAGTCCAAAATTCTGTTCTGTACATCTGTGTCTCTTTTTCTGTCCCGCATACAGGGCTATTGTTACCATCCCTCTAAATTCCATATATATGCATTAGTATACTGTGTTGGTCTTTATCTTTCTGGCTTACTTCACTCTGTATAATGGGCTCAATTTCGTTTTTTAAACTTAGATCAAAAAACGAAAAAGAGCGAGTCTAGGGAAGTCTTCAGATTAAACACTGACCCACCCTCTCCTGTAAAGGTGCACATTAGACACATATGAGCGACATGGTTCAGAAAATAGGCTTTCTTTTCTATTAAAGTGACAGTGACTTTTACTTTCTTCTTCCTAAGTTCTATGCTTTTTACAATTTATTTATATAGTTTTCAGGGGTGCTTTTTTGAGAAAAAAGTATTTTTTTTAACTTTAACTCAATAATTCCACTTCTACATTAAGTCTTCGGGAAATAATTAGAAACATGGACAAAGATTTATGTTCAAAGATGTTCACTACAGCAAACCAAACTTGATCTTAACAGCTTCACAATAACCTACTGAATCTATGAATCAAAACTTAATCATTCTCTTCTGTTACTCATTTAGATCACTTCTAATTTTTCTATATTATAAATAAATACATTTATATATAAAAAGAAGGGAGGGAAGACAGAAAGAAGAAGGAAATAATTAATTATATAGAAGCTTGGTCAGACTTTTTCACATTTTGGATCACTTCCTAACACACATTCCCATAAACCATCTATCAGCATTCAAGAACATTTTCACAGTTCTGATGTCCCAAGTTCTGTATATCAGTAGGATGTACGGACTGTACTATCACCTCTCTAGCAGCAAGTTTTATCCCACGGATAATTTTTTTTAAGTTTTACAATTAAGATACAATTTACTTACCACCTCTTAAAATTATACAACTCAATAGTTTTCAGTGTATTTATAGAGCTGTGAAGCCATCACTGTAATTTAATCTGAGATCATTTTCCTCATCCCAAAAGGAGAAACCTTGTAGCCATTAGCAGTAACTCCCCATCCCCCCTGCCACTCACCCAAATGGCTCATTTTTACTGATTTACCACTCCATTACTTTTTTTAAGATACCTCAAAGATATTACGTGTTCCAAACCCATGAAACAGAATAATTGCTTCTGCGACTAAGATATCTCTCTGTTTCAAACTGGGAAATATCCTGTTTAACCATAGGAAAGTAAGATATGTCATAATTGTCTCTTATTTTTTCAAAAGGGACTTTTAAAATATAAGGCAGAATTTCAGAACTAAGAGAAGATATATAAGTACAAACTTAACTATTTTTTTCAAAACTAATAACAACTCTAATTACTTTGAAAGTGCATTACTGAATCTAGCAAAAATGTCACACAGAAGCAAGGAATTTATTCAAAACTTCTTATTTTAATTAGGTTAACTTGATCTGGTAATAAAACTAAAAGTACAGTGCAATCAATGTAGGATAACAATTGACATGTGATCCAGAGAACTGTCTTTTTAAAAAGATAAGTAATTGTCCTATGGGTAAACCTATGGTTGACTCATGTTGATGTTTGGTAGAAATCAATACTATACTGTAAAGCAATTATCCTTCAATTAAGAGTTTTAAAAATTAAATAAATAATTGTCTTCATGCTCGGAGAAGGCAATGGCAACCCACTCCAGTACTCTTGCCTGGAAAATCCCATGGATGGAGGAGCCTGGTGGGCTGCAGTCCATGGGGTCGCAAAGAGTCGGACACAACTGAGCGACTTCACTTTCACTTTCATGCATTGGAGAAGGAAATGGCAACCCACTCCATTGTTCTTGCCTGGAGAATCCCAGGGATGGCGGAGCCTGGTGGGCTGCCATCTATGGGGTCACATAGAGTCGGACACGACTGAAGTGACTTGGCAGCGGCAGCAGTCTTCATGCTACCAAAAAATAAAAACTTACTTTCATTTACTCAAAGCACTTTCTCCTCATATAATATTTTTTGACTCCAGCTGTACAGAATTCAGTAATTCTTCTTTGCAGGGTTTCGTAGCAGAAAGAACATTGAAAATAGTTCATTAAACAAGGGAGACTTGGTCCCCTGATCATATCAGACATTTTTTAAAGAACAGTGGAAAGCTGAAGTTGGGAAGGGGATGCCTCACGAAAGTTAGCTTCTCATCAAATTTTCACTTTTTCTCTCCTCTCTTCATCTAACTCTAGACATCTCCTATATTCTTCAAATAATCCAAACATTCCTGTTACTCAAGTTAAGCAATACTGCAATACAGCCACATGTTTTGTTTCATATCACTTTAATTACACAAAACGCTCATTTATACACTGAAAGTGTGAAAGTGAAAGTGTCAGTCTCATAGTGGTGTCTGACTCTTTGTGACCTCATAGACCATAGCATGTCAGGCCCCTCTATCCATGGGATTGCCCAGGCAAGAATACTGCAGTGGGTTGCCATTCCCTTCTGTAGGGATCTTCCCAACCCAGGGATTGCACCGGGGTCTGCTGCATTGTAAGCAGATTCTTTACCACCTGAGCCACCAGGGAAGCCCTTCACCCAAAATATTCTTGCCTTTATTTTTGTATATAAAACAAAGTGAGTTCACATGAATGAAGGATACTTCCAAAATAAAGATATTTTTTCATGTCACTAAAGAAAAATCTAACACATGTAACCTACTTTTTATTAACACAATGAAAGTGAAGTCTCTCAGTCATGTCTGACTCTTTGCAACCCTATGGACTGTAGCCCACCAGGCTACTCTGTCCATGGAATTCTCCAGTCCAGAATACTGGAGTGGGTAACCGTTTCCTTCTCCAGGGAATCTTCCCAACCCAGGGATCGAAGCCAGGTCTGCAGAATTGCAGGCGAATTTTTTACCATCTGAACCTCCAAGGAAGCCCATTAACACAATGGTTAAACAATAAACTCATAAAAATGTGAGCCTAAAGAGAGCTATATTATAAAATCCCTAGTTACATGTTCAGCAGGTGCCCCCATACACACATACACAAAATCACACAGGCAAGTGTCACCACCTGGCTTTCTACCCTCACTTCAGCACCAGAAGCTCCTCTATCACTCTGTCATGGTGAAGTGAGAGAAATTTAATTGTAAATAATCCTCCAATACCAACGATCACAGTGTAGAGAAACAAGCATCAAGCCCCAGTAACTCAAGAAGCTAGGGTGGAACTAGGGTGGTAGCCCTTGTGCAAATTAGAAAAAGATACTCCCAGGGTGGAAGGAACACAGCCTCACTGAGCCAGGACTTGGTAAAGGTAATGTCTTCGCAAAATTTAGGAAAGTTTCCCTTTCTCTAGGGATATTTATTCCAAGCCAGGGCACATGGCCAGATGAACAGGATCAGGTCTGCATTTCAGTCTCCACCAGCCCCTTATGCCCTGGTTTAAAAACAATTTACACAACCTGCACAGTGGCCCTGGAGGTGGGTGAGGTGGGGACAGGGGTCGACAGCTTCATCCTGCCTCTACCAAATAGAGCAGGGACATCCATCAATGAAGAAATCAACCCCTTCTTCCACTGCGAGAGGCAGGCACACAGTTCACCAGAGAAACTCAACTTCAGTCAACTCATGTGTAAAAGACAAAATTTAAAGAAAATGCAGTTTCAAAAATATTTCTGTAGACCACATAAAAGGGCGGGCTATGTGAAAATCATATATCCAATGTTTAGAGTTTTCTTTTTTTATTACTTTGCTCAAGTATTTTAATACAAAGGTTTCAATAAATATGTTTAACTCTGAGATTCATACCACATAATCCTCCATTTTTATATGGCCAAATATTCTGGTCCTTACAACAGCATGCTCATGATTAAATACAAATTACCTTTCACACCACCAAATGATCCATAAGTCATATTGCAGGCTGTTCTCTGAAGATTGTGCTCATACATCAATTTGATCTGATACTGGTTCCCATGTTCCACATTACCCAAGGTTCCTAAAAAGAAAAAATAAAACAACTGCTTTGTATTTGTTTATATTAAAAAATATTAATATCTTATCACCTGTACCAATTCCAAGTAATTCAATTTCAGTGAAATTTAAAATGACAAAGCACTAAAGCATTATGTATCACGAACACTTAGCATACTCATGACAAAGAATGCCAGCACAGTTAGAACAATTTAAGTCTCAGCTAGATTATAGCATTAGATGAACTACTACCCTGGGTGACATTTTATTATCTATTTCCATTATGTCTGAGTAGAGTGTGATTATTTAAATAACAAAATCTTCCAGTTTCAGTTCTGAAATAAATGAGGTTAAGTTCCCTTCACTTATAACAATGAAACAGAAAAGACATGAACCAAAGTGCTAAGAAAAGAATTCCCCACACTATCAAGCAATTCAATTTTCTACACCAACTCTCAAAATATTCAAGCCCCTAATACATTATGTTCTAATTTACTAGCAAGATCTAAAGCATCCCTCAGCAAGTAACTAGGACAATGTTTCCTTTGAAGTCTACAACTGACTGGTTCAAAATTGGGAAAGGAGTATGACAAGGCTGTATATTGTCATTCTGCTTATTTGACATATATACAGAGTACACCATGCGAAATGCCAGGCTGGAGGAATCACAAGCTGGAATCAAGACTGCCAGGAGAAATATCAACCTCAGATAGGCAGATGATACCACTCTAAAGGCAGAAAGTGAAGAAGAACTAAAAGCGTCTAGATGAGGGTGAAAGAGGAGAGTGAAAATGTTGGCTTAAAACAACACTCAAAAAACTAAAATCAAGGTATCCGGTCTCATCACTTCATGGCAAATAGAAGGAGAAAAAGTGGAAACGGTGACATTTTATTTTCTTGGGCTCCAAAATCACTGTGGACAGAGACTGCAACTATGAAATTAAAAGAAGCTTGCTCCTTGGAAGAAAAACTATGACAAACCTAGACAGCATATTAAAAAGCAGAGACATCACTTTGCCAACAAAGGTCCCTATAGTCAAAGCTATGGTTTTCCAGTAGTCACATACGGATGTGAGAGTTGGATCATAAAGAAGACTGAGCGCCAAAGAACTGATTCTGTCAAACTGTGGTACTGGAGAAGACTCTTGAGAGTCCCTTGGAATGCAAGGAGATCAAACCAGTCTATCCTAAAGGAAATCAACCCCAAATACTGACTGGAAAGACTGATATTGAAGCTGAAGTTCCAATACTTTGGCCACCTGATGCAAAGAGCCAACTCATTGGAAAAGACCCTGATGCTGGGCAAGGTTGAAAGCAAAAGGAGAAAGGAGCGGCAGAGAATAAGATGGTTAGACAGCACCACAGATTCAATGGACATGAATTTGAGCAAACTCCTGGAGATAGTGGAGGACAGAGGAGCCTGGTATTCTGCAGTCCATAGGGCCGCAAAGAGTTGGACGTGACTTACTGACTAAACAACAACAAAAAAGAAAAATCTCCTTCAAAAAAAAAAAATTTCCCTGCATTTAATAGATCATATATGCTTTAATTACTTCCAGGTTCATCCCAAATGAGAAAAGATTCTTCATCTGTATTTTACTCTCTAGTTGTCAGGCTTTCTAGAGTATATACAGTTAGAGCTATATCTTAGTGATCAGGCAAGAACATTATGATCAGAAACTGTATTGGAAAGAAAAATTATTCTAAATGCAACATATTCCACTAAGAAGCATCTTTGTCATTCAGTCAAAAATGCAAAAGTTAAAGAAAAAATTTTAAATATCACAAAGAAAATGAAATAGTTCCAAACTCAATAACATTAGATAATTAAAACAATCTAAATATATAAATCAGTCTGTATGTATGTATATACAGATTTATATGTGAGCATTTGCGTTTTTGTTTTGTTTTGGTTTTTGTCCAGAAGGATTTACCAATGTTCACTGAGGTTGCAACAACAGAAGTATTCCTACTTCCATTTTAGAACTGAGGCACCTTAAGTTTAAAAAAAAAATTAATAAATTTACCCCAAAATCACATAGCTGATAAAGGACACAGTACTCAAATTAGGTCTTCTGAGCCAGCACTATATATCCTGACACCTGGTTGTCCACCATTTAACAACTTTCAGGGAACCTGGTAAGCCAATCACAATTTCAAAAAAAAAAATTTCCTGAGGAGGGGTAAACTGGGAGTTTAGGGTTAGCAAATGCAAGCTATTATATATAGAATGGATAAACAACAAGATCCTACTGTATAGCACAGAGAACTCTATTCAATATCCTCTGATAAACCATAATGGAAAAAAATATTAAAAAGTAATGCGTGTGTATATATATAAATGAATCATTTTGCTGTACAGTAGACATTAACATAATATTACAAATCAACTATACATACATATATGTATATATACACACAGAAAAACACACAAATATACATAGGACTTCCCTGATGGCTGAGACAGTAAAGAATCCACCTGCAATGTAGGAGACCTGGGTTCAATCCCTGGGCCGGGAAAATTTCCTGGAGAAGGAAATCGCAACCCACTCCAGTATTCTTGCCTGGAGAATTCCATGGACAGAGGAGCCTGGTGGGCCACAATCCATGGGGTCACAAAGTGTCAGACAGGACTGAGTGACTAATGCTGAATTTTACTTTTTCACTTTCATGTGTGTGTATATACACACACACACACACACACACATAATTTCCACCCCCCACCTTTCTCTCCCTGGCCTGTTCTTCCTCACTTGGAAAGTGAAGGGTTGAAAGAGAAAAAACTAACAGGCAAGGATTTCTTGGAGGAGGACATTTTCTATGCAGATCTATGTCCCTGAAAATGCTAAGAACAGAACACACATCAATGGAATAAAAAAAAAAAAAAGACTCAAATTTACCAGCTAAACCTGATAGGAGATGAAAGTTTTCTGGAACCTAAATGGTAATAAAGTCAGTAAAGTCCACAGAAATTGGTGGTAATCACTACCATACCAGCCACAAGGGCAAAAACCAAAAACTCTAAAAACATAACTCATAGCATTGATCTAAGGACAGTTCTAGCCTCTAAGAAACCAGAAAAACATTCCAAGAAACTTCTGGTTCATCCCTACAGAAATTCCAAATTTCATTCTGCACCTAAAATGAGAGGAACCCCTCCAAGAAAGGAATGTATCATGCATACTTGCTAGCCAAAACATCAGTGAACACAAGGGTCAGCAGTCAATATTTAAACAAACTTGCATGAAATGACACTAGGATTTATGTACTGGAAAAGCTCCAAATGCATTTGGAAGTTTTTAAATTTCAGGTAATTGCACTTGAAAATATAATAGTGCATCTAAGGAGAACAAAACAATTTATCTTCCTTCAATACTAACTTGGAATAAAGGTAGTACCTGAAAATCTGAAAATTCTGATCTTTTTTTTTCTAGAGAAGCATCAGTGACATAAGATTAAAATTACTTACATAAGTTTTGTCCTTGGATTTACAGATTGAATACAATAAATGTATATCTTAATAATAGTCTACATATAACTAAAGTTCATATAAAGTTTCATCGATTAGAAAGTAAATGGATATTAGAACATTTTTGCTGCTGGCCTTATTTAAACAAGAGCTAATTTAAACAAAAAAAAAAAATCCTCTCTGGACAATCAACGGTCACCTTGAAAACAGGTTTTGGTCCAATTTTATGTACATAACTGCTAAGAAATCCAACAATGTTAAATGAAATATTAGTAAAAGCCATTACAAAGTAAAAGGTTCATTGTATTAAATAACCAAATTAGATTATGTAACCCTATCAAAAGTAAAGAGACATCTTTTTGCCCTCTCATGGCAAATGTTAAAATTCTATAAATATGTCAAATGCTCAGGAAGTACACAATTTTTAGAAGAGAATATTTAAAAGAACATAATCAGCATGGCTTAAGCTCACACATCTGTAACCATTTACTCAGAAACTGAGGCCCATCAGGAAAAAATCAGATGCTATGTGATGCCTTTCCTTTACCAGAGTATGATAAGATGGGCTAAGTTCAGGTCAGCAAGACCCTGCTGATTCTCTATATTAAACCAGCATTTAATGACATATCACCCCCAAAGAAAGAAGTCAGCACAGTAGCTTCTGATTACTAGGAGTTGTTTGCTGTATCCAGGAGTTCTCCTCTAATTTGTCTCAAATATCTTTTAGGAGCACATAGCACACACAAAAGTGAGTGTCCGAATCTTTGTGATCCTATGGACTGTAGCCCGCCAGGCTCCTCTGTCCATGGAATTCTCCAGGCAGGGATACTGGAGTGGGTTGCCATTCCCTTCTCGAGGGGATCTTCCAGACCCAGGGATCGAACCCGGGTCTCCTGCATTGCAGGCAGATTCTTTACCAACTTGGTGACTGAACAACAAGAAGCACACAAAAGAAAACAAAAAAACATTTGGGGAGAGGGCACTTGGGGTTAAGGACGTCAAGTTCAGCTGACACGTTCATCTGCTGACACCAGTGATTTCACTTAAACTAGAAAGTGTTTATGCTTCCCCTGTTATAGTAAAAGCTAGGTAAAAGTTCGGTCTGATACCTCAAGAAATATATTCAAGAGAACAAAAACATTAACTTCCCTGCTTCTCAATTTAAACCAAGCCAGGAAAAATATACAAATTGTCAGCCTATGAATATCACAGGAGGCTGAAGAAATGAGAGACAGAGAAAGGAAATGAGGTGGAGTGTAAGGGAATGTAGTTTGGACAACTCCACATCCCCAGAGAATACAAAGCTTGTAAATGAATACAAAGAATAAAGGAGCAATAAAATTGCCATTCCCATGACAAGTAACTTTCATTTTCAACACTAATTTGAAGGAATATGTTTATGGATAAGTGAAAGTCGTTCAGTCATGTCCGACTCTTCTCAACCCCGGGGATTATATACAGTCCATGGAATTCTCAAAGCCAGAATACTAGAGTGGGTAGCCTTTTCCTTCTCCAGGGGTTCTTCCCAACCCAGGGATGGAACCCAGGTCTCCCACATTGCAGATGGATTCTTTACCAGCTGAGCCACAAAGGAAGCCCAAGAATACTGTAGTGGATTGCCTATCCCTTCTCTAGTGGATCTTCCCGACCTAGGAATCAAACCAGGGTCTCCTGCACTGCAGAAGGATTCTTTATCAACTGAGCTATCAGGGAAGCCCTTATGGATACCAATGTCTGATTAAAAAGCTGTGATCAAACATGCCAGTTTCTTTCACTAGGCTTTTTTGATAAACACACATTTCATCTTTAGTCTATGTCATACACCCCAGTAAAGTCTAGAGACTTCTGGCTTTCTGAGCCATTATTCAAATGGGCCAAGGGAAGGTCAAGAATCTAACCTTGTTTCTAATTTTTAGGATCTGTCCCTCTACTGCCCTCTTAGAGCCCCCACAGAGCCTCTAGAAAGGACCAGTACCCCAAGCAGCATTCAAGAGTAACTGTGGGCAATTCTCCTTCTCCATACCTGTTAATGAAATGTCACTCAAAGTTAATAGGCTTATGATGGGAAACAGAGGAACAGCTAGACTCCTACAATAAAGGAGCCTCTATCATGCGTGCTCAGTCATATCCAACTCTCTGCCACCCCCTGGACTGTGGCCCACCAGGCTCCTCTCTGTCCAAGGGATTCTCCAGGCAAGAATACTGAACTGGGTTGGCATTTCCTCCTCCAGAGGATCTTCCCAGTCAAATCCTAGTCTCCTGCATCTCCTGCATCGGCTGGCAGATTCTTTACCACTGCGCCACATGGAAAGCCCAGCCTATATCATACCTTCTCCATTTATTCTGGAACACTAAATATTTGTCCTACCACTAGAAGGAACAACATTAGTTCAGTTCAGTCCCTCAGTTGTGAGCAACTCTTTGTGACCCCATGGACTGCAGCACGCCAGGCTTCCCTGTCCATCACCAACTCCTGGAGCTTACTCAAACTCATGTCCATAGAGTTGGTGATGCCATACAATCATCTTATCCTTTGTCGTCCCCTTCTCCTGCCGCCTTCAATCTTTTCCAGCATCGGGGTCTTTTCCAATGAGTCAGTTCTTCACATCAGTACTGGAGTTTCAGCTTCAGCATCAGTCCTTCCAATGAATATTCAGGATTGATCTCCTTTAGGATGGACTGGTTGGGTCTCCTTGCAGTCCAAGAGACTCTCAGGAGTCTTCTCCAACACCACAGTTTCAAAGCATCAATTCTTCAGGGTTCAGCTTTCTTTATAGTCCAACTCTCACATTCATACATGACTACTGGAAAAACCATAGCCTTGACTAGACGGACCTTNGGATATTGGCAATTTGATCTCTTGTTCCTCTACCTTTTCTAAATCCATCTTGAACATCTGGAAGTTCATGGTTTGTGTACTGTTGAAGCCTGGCTTGGAGAATTTTGAGCATTACTTTGCTAGCATGTGAGATGAGTGCAATTTTGCAGTAGTTTGAGCATTCCTTGGCATTACCTTTCTTTGGGATTGGAATGAAAACAGACCTTTTCCAGTCCTGTGGCCACTGCTGAGTTTTCCAAATTTGCTGGTATATTGAGTGCAGCACTTTAGCAGCATAAGAGGAGCAACATATTTTACCACAAAACAATGAGTGTTTAAAAATGACAGTAAGATTACTTTACTGGGTATCTGATACAAAAAAAGAATGGAAAAGAAAATGATAGTGGTAACAGAGAAGGAAAATAAGACGAAAGTAACACAGAGACAGTAATAAATAGCCACTACCAATTGCCTCAGCACTACCTAGAAATATAAGTTCATTCATTCATTTAACAAGTATGCCTACCGCACAACACACACCAAGCCTGCCTTCAAAATCTAACAGATCTTCAAACCAAAAAAGAATATCCAGCTTGGTGACAGTAAATAAGAATCATTACTCCAATTAAAAGCAAAATACAAAGAAAGCCTAAATCAAGAGACTGAGTGTGAGAAATAGAGACCTAAAAGCTAATATTTACAGCAAATTCCAAAGAAGTGCATCTTTTGAATAAGCAATAGGTCCACAGATAGTTAGCTTTATTGTATCCATTGAAAAAATTCTCCGATGTTGACATCATAAAAATAACTCTCTCAGCTTGAACTAAAATTTACCTAATAACTGAAACAAAATTCGTAAGTTACATTTTTAATAAGGGCCAAAATGCTGAAACCAGGCTACAATTAACTTTCATACTTGTACCCACAGGACCATGTCAGGGAATGAAATCTGAGTAAGCCTCAAATACATGCCTTGAGGTCTGGTTAAATGAAGACAACCAAAAACCAAGAAATTGGAACCATAAAGAAAAAATACTTGAGGTTCACCAAAGAAACGTACTTTAAGCCATCATGACTCAGCATTTAATGAATTCTGTTGTTGCTACTGAACATTTCTTAAGACTTAAGTGTCCTAAGTACCCAGAATTGGCCTCTCTTAATCATAGGCAATCCTGGACACAATTCCTCAGACAAAGGAGATTTCAAGGAACCCTCTACAGTGATAGAAATTTAAGTATGCATGGAAATAGCAGACCATGAAAACGTAACAGTCTTTGCAACTGAAAGAATAAGTGAACAATGGGAAAACGCTAAGAAAACTTTTAACCAAGTTGATATAACTATTCTTACATAATATTAAGAAGTCCATATTTTAGTAAAAAGTCTACATTTAAAAAAGAAAATGTTTCTTACCTGAGACAGAGTAGACACACAGTTTTCTTGAATGCAACACAGCCAAATGAAGCATCTCAGTACCTCTGAAAAATGGTGAAAGTTTTAAAAGTTTAAATACTAGCTTCAGATGTAACCCCCAAAAAATGACAAAATAATTTTAAAAAGAGATTATAATCATAACCTATCTTGAGTGACCTAAAATAAATAATTCACTGGATAACACTCAAAACCGAAAAATAAATTTAACAACAAAACAGTCAGTTTGACAATCCCAGAGGCCCAAGAACTTTGCCTCAAGGAGTTGCCTTCAGATTAAAGCCAAAGGAGTCTCCCAGAAAGAGCCAAATCAGAGGCCCCTGAATGCGCTCTCCCACAATAAAGCCACAAGGGACTTCCCTGGCAGTCCAGTGGTTAAGACGCCACACTTGCATTGTGGAGGGCCCTGGCTGGCTCCCTGATTGCAAAAAAAAAAAAAAAGAGAGAGTGACCCAAGCTCTGGTCCTGGCTTGCAGGCTAATTAACCTATGACCCTGGGCAAGAAACTTACACTCTCTAAGCCTGTTTCCCCTTTTGGAAAATAAGAGCTTTCAATTCAATGAAATAAAAATCATGTGAAAGCACCTTGTAAAGTATAAAGCGCCAGAGAAAGCTAACCATCACTGGGAAATGGCATATATCACATCCAAGTCTGAAATTTTACTAAAGGTATTGAAAATATTTTGGTGTGGTCTTGTCTCGCTGTTATCTCATGTTCACTGAACTCAGGGTAGGCAGGACGCCAGCAGAGAAGCTGGAAGAAGATGCAAGGAGCTGTAGAAACTACAGATATTCTTTACTTACTGGGGCAAGGCAGACACGCTTTAATCTCTAACAGCTGACACAGCAGTAATGATGACTACACAACTCAACTCCACGGGACTGGACTCAACTGGACACCTCTAAGAGCGTTTCAGGTGGTGCTTATACAGACCACACCACGATGCGCATGCTTAGCGCCACAAATGATCTCAGCTGTCCTGAGTGAGGAGTGGGGCGAGAGAGCCTGACCATCGTCACCTGGCCAACTGCTCTTCCCCTACAGGTCTCAGGTGTCACCACTACACTTCCCAGCCCCTATCAAGTGATTTCCAGAAACGTGGCACAGTCCGCTGCTGCTAAGTCGCTTCAGTCATGTCCGACTCTATGCGAGCCCATAGACAGCAGCCCACCAGGCTCGCCCGTCCCTGGGATTCTCCAGGCAAGAACACTGGAGTGGGTTGCCATTTCCTTCTCCGACAGTCAGTCTAGAAATCCTAAATTCAAAGTCTTCAAGAGTCCAGTCAGAGGATGTGAGTGAGTAAAGGGAGTAAATGGCTGTGATCAACTGGAGACTAGGGCCAGTCTAAAGGAGACAGCGAGTAGTTACTCGGTTCTGGGCTTGTGGCCAGATCTCCACATTTTTTTTCAGGAAAAGCCAGAAGGCAGGGATTTTATGTGAAAATTCCTCATTCTTAAACACTGGCAATTCTTTTAAATTTAAAACTAATCTGCAAGCAGGCCTCCGATGTCTGACCTCTGAAACAGACTGTTCTAAACTAAAAGGACTATGATTGAAGTCTGAAGACTTGGACTGGGGTCTTGACTCTGCACTTTGGTATTTCCGTGACCATTTAATCTTTTAGAGTGTGAATTTCTCATTCATAAAATAAGAATTATATTAGATAATACCTGTAAATATACACAACTATCACATAATCAAGATTGTCTTCAAAAATCTTTACATGTATCCTGAACACTCAACTTTTCCATCATGCACAGGAAAAGAACATGATGTCATTGAAAGACAATAAAGAACAGAGTCAGACAGACCTGGGTCGGAATCCTGGCTGTGTGACGGAAAGCTCTGAGTCCGAACTAGCTACCTTATCTCTAAATGCAGATCACATCTTATAGATCAGATTAATGAGACAGTACTAGTCAGTTAATAGTAGGACAGTATCCACTCATCACTGTTAACCTTCTCCCTTCTAAAAAATGATCACATAGATGAAAACCATATTACTATATAGAATGATTCTGACAGCATTCCACTTTTTTAAAACATGAAAAGGTAAAAATGCCTTTTAGAGACAAGAATTTCTTTTGTCTCCTTATTTTATAAATCTATCATGTTTATATGTGCTAGGTTCAAAATGTGCACCTAATCATTACCTGCTTTTAGATGGAGTAGATATTTACCAGCCATGCCAGTAATAAACTCCTGATCCAGTCTGTCACAGGGCATAAAGGTCCCATCTCATGTCCCGGCCTAGAGCATCTATGAAGCAGCTTCCCATTAGAATGAAATATATTACTAGAAAAGAGTTACTAATGCTCAGGAGCAGTCGTTCAGGTTTTTCTAGTAGGAGTCAGGACCCTGAACAAGTACAACCTGGGGCCAATAAATTATGATGAGCAATTGACAGTGAGCCAAAGTCCAGAGCTCAGGGCACTCCCTGACTTAAGAAGGCAAAGAGGGCTCAAAAAGAAAAAGAAAGGGAAAACAAGACCACCTCTGTCTACATAAAATTTCATAGTAGATACTTTTATAAATGATTAATAAATACAGGTTTAATTTTAAGAAAATTCATGTATGAAAATAAGATAAAATCAGCAATATCATCAGTAAATAAAAAACACATATTACATAAAATGCAAAATAATACATGGTCTTCTAAAATAGGTTTAAAAACAAAGTACTTTGAATCAAAGACTTCCCTTGTGTGTTGAGCTGACTTCTTTTAAGAAACTAAGGACCTCTCTACCCCAAATAAGTAATACATTTTAAAGCCTCAAAATTATGCACCAAATGACATAGCTACTATGATGTCTAATTTTTTTAAACAGATTTATATAACCTAGAAAATCAGTGCTTTAAGTAAGTGAATAATTTCTGTTTCTTTATTTGATTATTTTCCAAAAGCTTATCTCCTTTCCTTTAAGCTTCTGATACATCAGGCATCTTAGGTCTGTTACAATTAAAAAAAAAAAACCCTAAATTTTTCTGTCTTAAATGTACAGGTTTCCATATTAAACAATGTTCAGTACATGACAATATACAGGAAATATATTTAATTCATAGTCTTTTTTTTTTAAGAAATCACAAAAATGACATATAAGGGACTGACATACTCCAAGTAGTAAGACAAAACACTAGAATTAGTGAACTGTACTTACGAAACAAACTTTCCTACTTCCACTTGCAATATTGGATCTCGTAGATCCACTTCTAGAAGCAAATCCTCAGCTTGAGCTCCATCTCCTGTTTTTACAGGATGAGGATTAAAGATTCTTAGGTATCCCATAAAGCTGCCCACAATTATTTTATCTGTAAAGAGGTGTTTTTAAAGACATAGGAAAAAACATTAGTCACAAAAAGTTTTGGAAATAGAATTTCTAATGTCTAAAAGAAGAATCTAAAAATTAAAAGAATCCAGTTTTGTTTCATATACAAAGACCAATCTGCCAACAGAATATATAATTAAAGTGAACTAAATAGCTTCACATCACCAATATTCAAATATACTAATGTACGACATTTTTCTTAAGCCTTAATTTGTTATCAGTAGCCATAATTCAGCACAAAGTGAGCCCTTTTAACAAAGGAATAGTATCAGGTTGTAAACTGATTTCATCATAGAGTGTCAACTCTATACCTGATTTTGGCTATCGAAACACACTGCATGAAAACTTATTCCAAGGCCTCACTAGACAGAGTGCTCTGATTTATAATTATCTAGTTGGGTACAAAAGGGGGAAATGATAAGATAGGTATTATGGGGTTGAACTGTGTCCCTCAAAAAGATATGTTGAAGTCCTAGCCCCAAGTAACTGATTTCATTTGGAAATAAGGTCTTTACAGATGAACCCAAGTTACAGTGAGGTCACCCTTGATTGTATGTGGTAGGACTCAGTATCCTTTTCAGAAGAGAAAGCAAGGACACGGTGGGGAGGAGAATGTCACAGGAAGATAGAAAGACAAGCAAGAAGATGATCATGTGACCACAGAGGCACTGATCCAAGTGATAATCCATAGGCCAAAGAACTGTCAGCAACTGAAAGAGGCAAAGAAGGATCCTAGAGGCTTCAGAGATAGTATAGTCCCGCAAACACCTTGATTTTGGACTTCTAGACTCCAGACTGTGGCAGAATAAATTTCTGTTGTTTTATGCCAGTCAATTTGTGGTACTTCGTTATGGCAATCCTAGGAAACTAATAATTTGGGTTGTTTGAAATCCCCGGATTAGTAGAGTACACTGACTTTTTTTCTACATACGGAAAAGAAGGAGCTCTACACACTTTTTTATTGAGAGCTTATTATGTGCCAGGCAATGGTCTAAGTAGCTTACATATATTAATACTAACTCATTATCCTCATAATAATCCTCTGAGAGAGGTAGTATCCTAGGAATTTCAATCGTGAATAGAGATACACATGTCATTAAGAATCTGGTGCTACGATTCACAATAGCCAAGATATGGAAGCAACCTAAATATCCAACGACAGATGAATGGATAAAGAAGATGGGGTAAATATACACAGTGGAATACTGTGCTGTGCTGTGCGAAGTCGCTTCAGTCATGTCTGACTCTTTGCGACCCTATGGACTGTAGCCCACCAGGCTCTTCTGTCCATGTGATTCTCCAGGCAAGAATACTGGAGTGGGTTGTCATGCCCTTCTCCAGTGGATCTTCCCGACCCTGGGATCGAATCCATGTCTCTTATGTCTCCTGCCAATGCAGGAGACATTGGCAGGTTCTTTACCACTAGCGCCACCTAGGAAGCCCAGTGGAATACTACTCAGCCATAGAAAATGAAGTAAGGCCACTTGCAGCAATATGAATGGACCTAGAGATTACCATCCTAAGTGAAGTCAGTCAGATGGAGAAAGACAAATACTATATGATATCATTTATATGGAGTCTAAAATACAACATAAATGAACTTATTTATAAAACAAACAGACCCATAGAGAACAGATTTGTGGTTGCCAAGGGGAAGGAGGGATGGGGAAGGGGTGAATTGGGAGTTTAGGTCTAGCAGATGCAAATGATTATATACAAAATGGATAAACAACAAGGTCCTACTCTACAGCATAGAGAACTATATTCAATATCCTGTGATAACCATAATGGAAAAGAATATGAAGAAATGTGTGTGTGTGTGTGTGTGTGTGTGTGTGTGTGTATATATATATACATATATATATAGCTGAATCACAGTGTCATATAGCAGAAATTAACACAACATTGTAAATCAACTATACTTCAATTAAAAAAAAGAAGAATCTGGTTCTAGGTGATCTGATGGCAGCCTCAGATGTCTACAAAATCTCTGAAACATACTGGCTCCTGACTTTGACTAAGGCTTGGCCAAATGAACTCTCTCTATTCAAGGAAGCTATGTCACTCTCATTCCAATCTCTCTTTTATTTGCATTTATCATAATTGTTTCCTGTCACTTACAGCAAAAAAAAAAAAAAAAAAGTCAACTGATATACAAAATTAGCACCAAGGAATAAACTGCGGACACCAATTCCTTCAGGGATATTTAGAAATTCATTCTTGAGGTGAGCTGGGGCACAAAGCATTAAAACTCCTGTTCATAATTTAGACGGAGTTAAACAGCATCGTACACAGTGACAGAACAGCTCATCAAGGCAACACCTCCCAGCATCTGGAACACTGTGCCCACTGCAGGTAACACTGGTGAACTGAACAGCTGCTGCCAAATGAACAGGAAGGAGCAATGCCAAACCATATGTAAGACGGCGTTTCCTAAGGGCACTGGATAATTTAAAGCAAGAGGATGATAGATTTTGACCAAAATTCTCATCTCAGGGTAAAACTAAGGGTCTTTGGGAGTCTGAGGAAACAATTTCTTACCTCACTTCACAGGCGGTTTAACCCCTAAGAATCTAGTTCAGGGATTAACACTAGAGGTTTTAAATTACAGGAACAAATGAGTTCACAGTCTCTCCATGTTTCTTACATAAAAGTAAAGACAGTGATAAGAAAGAGTAGGGTTCACCTTTACCATGTCCCAGCCTCAGGGGTAAGAGGAAGTCAGGATGGCCAAGCCCAGATGGTGACAATTTAACCCCTAGAATTACAACGTGTATGTATAATTATTAAAATAGTGAACCCCATACTTAAGTCAATTTATAGACGTGGAGTCACCTGAACAAAGGCAGGGCTGTGTACAGACTGCCGTGGTAGAGTCTGTCTGCAATGCAGGAGATCCAGGTTCAATCCCTGAGTCAGGAATATCCCTGGAGAAGGGAATGGCAACCCACTCCAGTATTCCTGCCTGGATTCTCCATGGACAGAGGAGCCTAGCAAGCTACAGTCCATGAGGTCACAAAGAATCAGATAGACTGCATGACTAACACAACAATTATAACACCACACATGTCTAATATAAAGTTTCCTCAGATTCTTCCCTGTAGAACCATTAGTCACTCATTCAAATGTACTGAACAAAGGTAAATACCCAACCTTTATGAGAACACTGAATATTGGCTCTGAATTACTACTAATTCTGGAAGCCCAGGAAGATACTGTTGTTGCCAATTATGGAGATTCAGTGATAAATTAACTTTCTAATTTATTTCACCCCAGTGGGAAAACAAAGCCAATCTATGATTTCTCACCCAGTATTTGAGAGCTTAAAGGAAATATATTTCTGTAGAAAACTGTGGAATAACCACTTGGTTCCCTAAGGTGTACAGTGAGGGATGTTATATTAAAAGGGCTAAATAGAAGCCAGTGGAACTCCATCTCTCCAATAGGGAGAAAATCAAAATCAATACCATTTCTAAGCCTGATTTGAAATGGTCTCCTAAAAATTGATTCCAAAAAACTTAACTGTATATATGTGATAATTCCTATCAAAGAATTTTGGTTTAATAACAAAATTTGCTGATAAAAAATCTAATTAATGGGTTTGAAAGAGTTAAGGGACTTCCCAGGAGGCACTAGTGGTAAAGAACCCATATGACAATGCAGGAGACATAAAAGATGCAGGTTCGGTCCCTGGGTTCGGGAGATCCCCTGGAGGAGGGCATGGCAACCCACTCCAGTATTCTTGCCTGGAGAATCCCATGAACAGGGGAACTGGCAGGCTATAGTTCATAGGGTCTCAAAGAGTCAGATACAACTGAAGTGACTTAGCACTGAAGCACCGAAGCACAGCGTTAAGGTTGATCAGTACATCCTTAAAGGGCAACTCTAAATTCTTCTGTTATTCACAAACTGTTTTTTCTTGGAGCAAACTAATACATCCCAATCTGAGTAATGCCTTTTCTACTTTACAATACATGGAGACCAACAAGAACAGTTTGCTTTCACTTAATAGGAGCAAGAGTATACATATACAAGTATGACCACAATCCAATCCACAGGACCCAGTGCTGCCACATCCTCTCATAAGGGCTGCTGCTGCTGCTGCTAAGTCACTTCAGTCGTGTCCAACTCTGTGCGACCCCATAGATGGCAGCCCACCAGGCTCCCCCATCCCTGGGATGCTCTAGGCAAGAACACTGAGTGGGTTGCCATTTCCTTCTCCAGTGCATGAAAGGGAAAAGTGAAAGCGAAGCCGCTCAGTCGTGCCCGACTCGCAGCAACCCCAGGGACTGCAGCCCACCAGGCTCCTCCACCCATGGGATTTTCCAGGCAAGAGTACTGCAGAGGGGTGCCACTGCCTTTTCCTCATAAAGGCTGAATGGGGCTGAAAGAAATATGAGTGAAACCCAGGGACTCCATGGGCCCTTCCCTGTACTGTCTGGATCAGTCTTAAATGAAACTACTATAATCCTCTTCAGGCAAGCACCAGTGTTCTAGATCCCTCAGGAATGAAGACCTAGACCACAAAACAATTTCAAGGTGCTAATACTATTCTTTCACTCTCTGATCACCTCCAAGAAAGTAGGGATCAACTGGTACTACTGTCTCAATTCCCAACCTAACCTGCAACAGGTGACCAGTTGCAAAACAGAAGGATGTAGCTCCCAACATGATTTCTTCAAGTAGCCATACAATTTTTCCTGCTCCTTCATCTTTATTTTTAAGTTTTTCTTTCTCTACTTTTCCTTGACTATTAATATTGTATACATTAAACTGTGAACAAAAATTTTATGCCCCAATGATTCTAGAGGCAGCAGGATACTGAAACATGAATACTGGAATGACAAATGAAAGGGATAACACCCAGAGAGCCTAGTCTTGAAGAGCCAGGGCTCTCTGAAAGTGCCTCTGAAGCAGTAGGTGCACACAGTTATCTTTCATTGCAGATGGGTAAGAATATGCGTGTGTGCAGTAGTCCAAGGGACAGTTGCCCCACATTAGGTATAAATGCTGAGAAGCTAAAAGTGATAAATGTGAGAACTACTTTTTAGTCTGCCTTATGTTTGTGTTTAACTCTGATTCTTGTAACAAACACTCCCTCCAGGCCATAGGTTAGCATGTAATCTAAGCTGCACCATTAAGATTCTCTCAGGATGAAGGAATCCTTGATGTTCTCTCAATCTCCTCTCAAGACTGAGGAATCCTTCTTCTGTAAATCAAGTCAACTTCGTCCAAAGCAATTTCTTTTTTTTTTTTTTTTGGTCCAAAGCAATTTCAAGGTGCTAATACTATTCTTTCACTCTCTGATCATCTCTAAGAAGGCAGGGATCAACTGGCACTACTATCTCAATTCCCAACCTAACCTGCAAACTTCTCTTTATCTATGTCCATTCTTATCTTCTTGCCACACAAGCTTAAAGATAGCCCTTCCATCTGCACACCTCATCCCATCTCCTACTGTCTTCTCTAGATCCCTTCTCTAGAAGACTGAATCTCATTCCTCTATGCTACACGTTCCATTTTTCCCATTTCTCTTTACCCTACATGGTCACCAAAGACCATTCCCCCTTATCCCTTCACAGCTGTTTCTTTAAAGGGCCATAAACACTCAGTCTTTCCCGCCTCTCATTCCTTCACTCTCTGCAAATCTAGGTTTTGTTACCACTGTGCCCATTCTTCCACCCTCACCAAGGACACTAAAGAACCACTAGTTGCAAAGCAATGTGGAAACGTATCAGTCTCTATGTCACTAAATCTTGCCTTCCAGGTGCCAGCCCAGCTGATTCTCCTGCCTCTCTGACTGTCCGATCAGAATCTATTATTGACTACCTTTCCCAAAGCTCCTCCCTGATTGTTCCTTTTCTCCGGGTCACGGTCCTAAGGTTCCTTCCCTCTTGTTCCATCTTATCTCTCTGCGCATTTTTACCCTTCCCAGGGCTTCAAATACAATCATTCTGCTCATTCACTTCAAACACATACATTCTACTGCTACTGCTGCTAAGTCGCTTCAGTCGTGTCCAACTCTGTGTGACCCCCTCACTCCCAAATCTCTACTTCAGTTCTACCTACCAGACGCTTCTATTTCAAACAGAACATGCTTGAAACTGCTCTCACTAAACTTCCACGTAGGTCAACAGTAATAATTATTAAACTTTAGTGTACCACCATTCAACTTTGGAGCTTGTCAAAATGTAGATACCTAAGCCGCCATCCAATCCATCTACCCTCCAGAGAGTATGATCTTGAGGATCCTGTACATGTGGGACAAAAAAATCTTCATACACAATAATCACTTCAAAATATTATGATGTAGGAGGTCCAGGCTTTGAGAAATAATCATCAGTGGTTTTTTTTCTGTATGGAACACACAGAGAGAGAATGATGTCTGCATAGCGAAAACAGAGGAAGCGGCTCATAGCTGGATGCAAATTAGGGGGACCCAACATTTCAGCATACTGGTAACCCACTAGTGGCACCCCAGTGAGAAGCTCTAATAAAAATAAGGAGTGAACACCATGTTATTCAGATAACCAGTAATTACAGTTTACAACCAAGTTGAGCTTTAAATAGTTTGGGCAGAGGTGGGTATGAAACTATTTCTCTCTGGCAGGTATTTTTGTGGCTGCCAAATTCTACGGGAATTATACATTTAAACAAACATTTGGGCAAGAGGCAGGGTTGATAATCATTAAAGAATCACTCAGGACATCCTCCAAATAGAAGACCTTCATATCTCCTATCAGTAGGAAGGCAGAGCCCAGATCTTCCTTAGATACAATGTAGTAGGTGCTCAGAACAGTTTAGTGACTTCCACTCTTCATTGATTATATCACTTTCTCCTTTCGCCGTACAACCCAAATTCTACTATTTTACATTATAGGCAAGAGAAAGAAAATAAACAAAAATGTAAAGGGGCAATATTTATATAATGAATAGAAGAAAAAGTATTATAAGTTTTAAGAGGTCAGTGACTATCTGAATTACCAAAAAAAAAAAAAAGCTCATGGCTATAAATCATTTAAACCAAATATAAATTTCAAATAGCAATAATACAGACCTAAAATGTTATAAAGACCACTGATATATGACCACGTGAAGAGGAGCAAATAATTTAAGAATAAAATAGAATACTGTTTCTAGTATCAAAATATAAAAATGAAAGCAATGATTTAAGAATTGTTTTCTACAAAGAGAGAGATTAACATAATTTGTCCATATTGGTAAACAGCTTTTAGATTCAATTTTAAATAATTTTTCTTGCAAATAATTTCTACAAAAGAAAAATTTTCAAAACTAAAAATATTTGCCAGTTCTACCCTATAATACCTGATTTTACAACAAATAAAAATAAATTAAATGATACTTTATAATATTTTTGTGAGTTCCAGCAAATATGACAGAATCAACACGGACCAGAAAACTACAAACAACAAAACACAAGTAATAACTACATTTATCAGCTGTTACCTAAATATTACTTATAAGGCAAATGATCTTAAAAACTGGGTCACTTTGTTTCAAAAAAAAAAAAAAAACTGGGACATAATCATGACAGTTCACCTAAGTTCTGTAAAGTATACATTTTTTTTAAAAGTCGTTTTTATTTCATCCCTATAAAATGCTTTGTTCCAACATGCTTGGTGATAAGTTGTTTACCTTGTCCATTTCCAGTATTGTCAACATCAGCCAAACACAAACAGCCTTGATCAAATTCTTCTTTATCTCCCAGAACAGTAGACCACCAATCACGGGCTTTAAATAAAGACATTTTTGTTCACTCTAAAAAGAAAGCATTTATTTATAATCAAAATCCATTTCACAAAGTGCAAGTCACAACAGGATTTAAGAACTGAGTAACTCCTACAGCATAGGAGTTAACTAAACTTAAACAACTTTGAGAAAAAATACTGCATTTAACTCTAACTTTTTGGTATTTTGTGGACATACGTGAAACCACAACTCCAAATGAGTGGAAACATTAATCAAATATTTTGCCATGCCATTGGAAAATGAAGCTGAGAAATTATACATTTATGTTGCGTCAATTCTCTCCTCTGGGACATTTAGCAGACAACTGCACAAAGTAATACATTCTTTGAAGGATCAAGATCCAAATTCTACCAGCACTAGTCAGCACATAATTCCTAGATAAAACACCTAATTTCCCTTCAGTTTGGTCACTAGAAAGACTGTAGCATCTCCTGTCACAATGAGTTGCTAAGAAGAGCAAATGAGATCAAATGCATCAATGACTAATACCAGAAGAGGTACCTTACAAGTACTCAAAAAGCATTCACTCTCTTTCCCCTAACTGTAGAAAGGAAGATGAAAGAGGCAATTCACACCAAAAAAACAACTAGGAACTGTGGGCTGTAGGTCTATTTATAGCACTAATTACCTGTGTGTCCTCAGGCAACTCACATAACCCCTTTGCACTTTGATTCCTCATCTAAAATGAGGATACACCAGCCATACCACTGGGCTACGGATGTGGTGCATGGGAAAGCACACTAGCCCTTTAAAATGACAGTACAAACCACAGAGGGGGCTTCCCAAGTGGATCAGATGGTAAAGAATCTGCCTGCAATGCAGAAGATCCAGGTTCAATCCCTGGATATGGAAGATCCCCTGGAGAAGGGAAAGGCAACCCACTTCAGTATTCTTGCCTAGAGAATTCCACAGACAGAGAAGCCTGGCGGGCTATATGGTCCATGGGGTCACAAAGGGTCAGACATGACTGAGCGGCTAACACTTCTTAGGGCTTCCCTGGTGGCTAAGACAGTAAAGAATCCACCTGCAGTGTGGGAGACCTGGGTCCGATTCCTGGGTTGGGAAGATCCCCTAGAGGAGGGCATGGCAACCCACTCCAGTATTCTTGCCTGAAGGATCACCATGGACAGAGGGGCCTGGCGGGCTACAGTCTATGGGGCCGCAAAGAGTCAGACATGACTGAGCGACTAAGCACACACATCACATACCCACCTTGGGATTCTATGAGAATTTATTTATCTAACATAAATTAAGCTTTCCTTCAAGATTCACTGATTTAAATGATAGGATAAGCAGTCAACTCTTTTTATTCAAAGAGGCTCTGTTCTATAAGGTGGCAGCAAACATTGAATTTGCAAACACTGAACCATTGCTCCTAGAGGAAATAGAGGGTTAGAGTCATGCAAGCTTCTATTCACAGCATTTTCAGCAACCAATCAATACATAATTTTGTTTCTTGTGTGATTCTGTTTAAAGATAGTTTATTTTATATACTGCTGGTTCATTAACATTGAACTCCATGACCAACAGCACTGCAACTCATACTGAAGAAAACTTATATAGTAGAGGTATTTTCTCCGTAGAGTCCATCACAGCCTTCTTGCACTCAGGAACATTAGACAGTACTTTAGCACTACTCTGGGGGACAATTTTAAATAGCAATATCACACACACACACACACACACATACACACACACACACACACACACACACCCCAAACCACAGAGATGGAAAAAGTAGACTACATAGGTGCTAAGTAGACTACAAAGAAAAATAAGAGCTGAAACAAGACAACAAGAAGGCAGAGAGCTGCTGTATTTGACATCAGCTGGGAACATCCATATCAAGTGACTCAGATTTTTTGCCACTCTGCCTATAACCATGAATGACCATGAAAGCACTACGGATATTGATTTGGGATTACAAAAAATTTTGGTGAGCAGGAAAACTCACAAATATAAAATATGCAAATAATGAGGATCACCATTCAGTTTTTAAAAGGTAGATCAATCTGCTTCTTTCAGTAGGCCTTCCACACAGGTTAATCACAGAAATCAAGATTACTTGTATTCATAGAATTGGCTAAGAAATTAGATTACCATAATATGGTGGTGAAAAGTACAGCCTCTGGAGGCAGTTGGTATGAGTTTGAATCCCTGCTCTACCATATAGTAACCAGGCAACCAGATGCAGGTTACTAAAAGTTACTGAATCTATCTATACTTTGGCTTCCTCATTTGTTAATAGTAAAATAAAGGTAAGAATGGTATGTGAGGACTGAATAAAAACACAGTAGAGTCAACCTACAAAATAGGAGAAAGCATTTGCAAATCATGTATCTGAAAAGAGTCACGATACACAATTCAACAACAAGAAAATTTAAATGGGCAAAGGAGGTGAGGAGAAATTTATCTAAATAAGATAGACAAATGGACAACAAGTATATGAAACAACACTCAACATCACTAATCATTAGAGATTTGCAAGCCAAAACCACAATGAGATACTACCTCAGATTCATTAGTATGGCTATTACCAAAAATAATAAGTGTTAGCAATGATGTAGAGTAATCAAACCCTTGTGCACTGTTGGTAAGAATGTAAAATGATGCTGCCACTGTTGAAACAGTATGGTGTTTTCTCAAAAAATTAAAAATTGAAATTACCATTTGATCCAGCAATTCCACTTCTGGGAATACAGCCAAATGAACTGAAAGCAGGTTCTCGAAGAGATATTTGTACAACCATGTTCATGGCTCAGTGGTAAAGAATCCACCTGCAATGCAGGAGACCTAAGAGATGCAGGTTCAATCCCTGAATAGGGAAGATCCCCTGGAGGAGGGCATGGCAACCCATGCCAGTATTCTTGTCTGGAGAATTCCATGGACAGAGGAGCCTGGTGGGCTACAGTCCACAGGGTCACAAAGAGTTGGACATGACTGAAGTGACTAAGCACGTACACAAACATATGTTTATAGCAGCATTATTCACAAGAGCCAAAGGTAGAAACAAACCACCTAACAATTGGCAGATAAGTGGATCATCAAAATTTAGTATATACCTACAATGGAATTTTTTTTTGGCGGAGCAGCACTCTTTTTTGTTGAAGTATAGTTTACAATGTTGTGTTAGTTTCTGGTGCATAGCAAAGTGATTCAGTTGTATATGTATATACATATATATATATATAGATAGATAGATAGATATAGATACATAGATACATAGTTTCCATTATGGTATAGGATATTGAATATAGTTCCCTGTGCTATACAGTAGGACCTTGTTGTTTATCTATCTTATATATAGTAGTATGTATCTGCTAATCTCAGACTCCTAATTTATCTTTACCCCCACCTCCCCTTTCCGTTTAGTTTAGAAAACAAACCATAAGTTTGTTTTCTATGTCTGTGAGTCTGTTTGTTTCATAAGCAAGTTCATTTGTGTCATATTTTAGACTCCATATATAAGTGCTATCATACTTGCCTTTCTCTGACATTTCATTTAGCATAATAATCTTTAGGTCCATGCATATTGCTTCAGATAGCATAATTTCATTCTTTTTATGACTGAGTAGTATTCCACCATGAGAGAGAGAGAGAGAGAATGTGTGTGAGTGTGTGTGTGTGTGTGTGTGTGTGTGTAACCTACATCTTCTTTATCCGTTCATCTACTGATGGACATTTAGGTTGCTTCCATATTGTGTGTGTGTGTGTGTGCTCAGTCTCGTCCTATTCTTTGTGACCTCTTGAGACCTCATAGACTGTACCCCACCAGGCTGCTCTGTCCATGGAATTCTCCAGGCAAGAATATTGGAGTGGGTTGCCATTCCCTTCTTCAGGGGATCTTTCTGACCCAGGGATTGAACCCAGGATTGCAGGAAGATTCTTAACCATCTGAGGGAAGCCCAGAAGTCCTAAGAGGTTGCCCCTTCCTTTACTTCATTATTTTTTTGTTGAAGTGTAGGTGAGTACCAACATTAAATTAGTTTCAGGTATACAGCACAGTGATTCAATATTTTTATAGATTATATTCCACTAAGAGTTATTACAAAGGGATTTCCCTGGTGATCCAGTGGTTAAGACTCTGTGCTTCCCAGTGCAGGAGGCGTGAGTTTGATCCCTGGTCATGGAACTAAGATTCCACATGCTATAAGTACAACCCCCCCACTCCAAACAAAAAAATTGCTTTTACAAGATAATGACTATAATTCCCTGTGCTGTACAACTTATCCCTGTTGCTTATCTACCTTTTTAACTTTTTATTGGATTATAGTTGATTTACAAAAAGGTTGCATTTTAAATAATTTCATTTCTGTAAAATTTTCAAATTTACAAAATTAAGCTGATGGAGAACAGATCAGTGGTTACCAAGGTTAAGAGAGAGTATGACTTTAAAGGATTAATGCAAAGGAATTTCTTTGAGGTGATGAAAAAGTTCTAGAACCAGACTTTGGTGGTGGTTCCATGGCATAAATTTTATTTCTTAGAACTGTATTCCTACAAAAAAAAAAGTATATGTAATATAAAACATGGTGAGGTTGAAATAAGATCTGTAATTTAGTTATAGTACTAAATAGAGTATAGTTGCTGTTGTTCAGTCACCCAGTCATGTCTGACTCTTTGCGACCCTATGGACTGTAGCACACCAGGCATGCCTGTCCCTCCCCATCTCCCAAAGTCTGCCCATTGCATTGGTGATGCCAGCCAGCCATCTCATCTTCTGATGCCCTCTTCTCCTTCTGTCCTCAATCTTTCCCAGCATCAAGGACTTTTCCAATGAGTCGGCTGTTCGCATCAGTTCAGTTCAATTCAGTCGCTCAGTCGTGTCCGACTCTTTGCGACCCCATGAATCACAGCACGCCAGGCCTCCCTGTCCATCACAAACTCCCGGGGCTTACTCAAACTCATGCCCATCAAGTCAGTGATGCCATCCAGCCATCTCAACCTCTGTCATCCCCTTCTCAGATGACCAAAATACTGGAGTTTCAGCTTCAACATCAGTTCTTCAA